GTAAGGCTGCTGTGGTTTTCCTTTCTAATTCAATCACAACCTTAGATTCACAATTGTATCACCTGCAGATGCTGAATCTGCAACCATGGAGGCTTAAATCACAGAACAGGTGTATTGCCATTTTGGTCTATATTTAAATCCCAGTTAAGAAAACATTGTCTTCACAATTAATACTTAAAACTGGTAACACACTTTTCAGTTGCACGGTACAGTGTGAAAACAGTACACAGAACAGGATCACACGGCTGGGCTACGCGAGGGGGCAGAGCTGGTGGGGCTCGGGGTGTGGGTAGTACTGGGGCGTGCTGCCCACAGCCCTGCAGGGCACCCTCACAGGACAGTTTTGGGGGGCCCTTCAGCGGCCTGGCCCTCTACTGCCAACAGTGAGAGGTGTGGTTTTGCGAGAACCGTAAGGGACCACGCGGACTCTGTCGGCTGCAACCTCCTTCGTCCAGGCAAGCGCACCTGGGTGCTTATAGAAAGACAGTACATCCTCACCTGCACAGTGGCTGCAACAACGGCTCACTCCGAACAGTGGGGGTGGGGGGGTGGGCAGGGCTGGGTTCTGCTGTGCGTCCGGTCACTACGAGTCAGAGCAGGCTGGGTGGCACTTACCCACCCCCTCCCTGCAACACATTTCTGAAAACCGCGTTCTCGCAGAACGTGGACTATTTCTGCTGGTGTTAGCACCATATTTTCACCTGAACTGAGGTAAAGATAGACTCTCAAGCGAGCTTTGGGTAAAATTACAGTAGCAATCTTTTGTGATCAGTTAAGTAAGCTGGTTGAAGAAACAACTTTGTTCCCAAGTTATTAAAAAGCAGTGTCCTAAAGCCATTCTTGCGAAAGGGCAGGTGTGTTGCTTCCGTACAACTTGGGACATGCAAGTGGCGACCACCCCACGGAGGTCACGACCACAAGAAACAGGAGGGCAAGTCCAAAAAGTAATGCAACTGGCATTCCAGTTCACACGTGCAGGTGCGTCCACACAAACCCGTCTCTGCAGTCAGTGGACGACCGCAGACAAGTCGTCTCTCATTAGGTAGGGTGTCTTCAAAAAGAAATTCCACTCCAAACAGGGGCTTCCCAGGAAATCTACTGGGCCAGTTTAAGTTCAAGGCAGAGAGGTCAGCCCAGAAAGCGATGGTGGCTGTTTTTCAAGGTAAGATGAGAATAACCTTCATAGACTTCCTTGAAGGACACAGATGATCCCAGGGGCTTATTAGGAAGACGTTTCAAGAAGACTGACAACTGCAGTGATGAGAAAAAGACCAGGAAACAACTTTTCCATCCCAGCATGCAGCTCGCTTGTTCCTTTAGGACAGCAAGGCTGTCTTCCAAGAACATCACTGGGAAACCTTACCCCATCCCTCCTGGATCTTGCCCCTTAAAATGCTTCCAGTTTCCTGACTCCCAGCAGCACCAAGAAAGCATACAATTTTGAGTCCCGTGAGGACGCTAAAACTGCCCTTCTGATGTGGTGCAGACTTCTTGGGGAAGGGTCCGAGAGGAGGAAGCACCCTCCACCCCCAGAAGGGTACAGACCTAGGTAGAGGATATGCCGAGAAAGAATGAGCTTATTTTGACATTTTTGTTTACTAAAGGTTGCTATGATTTTATAGCAAAATGTTCTGACTTACCCTTATAAGTACTGAGCTTTACTTTCTTGTTGCTGTTCATAATTCTAGTTAAAGAAAGTCAGCAGAATCCACTCAGGGGATCTGAGACAGAGCCAACCTGATTCTGCTTAGGGAATAACTTGGGCATCAACTAGTAAACCATAAAGCAAGGTGTGTGAGCTCCTAGCAGTGGAAATAATACACCAGGGCAGAATTCTGATATTCAAACTCTATCATTGTTGGGTCGAAGAAGTCAAAGATTTTATAAAATATATGATCATAAGGCCAGCTTATCAGGTGTAGCTTAGAAATTCCAGTTGTCAGGACCCGGTCAAGTTTTCAGTAGGTGCTGCCCAGTCAGGATCCAGCTGCTACACTTAAAGTAGATCAGCCTGTCTGTCATCAGCTGATTACATGTTCCATTTAATGGACAGCTGAGGGGCTTCCTCCATCCCCAACTATTTCAGCCCGGAGTAGCTAAAAAAAAGTCTCCAACTTTACCCAAATCAGTGGGGAGGGAAAGACCCTACCATGTGGTTAAGGATGTGAAGGGGTATAAGCAGTTGCAGCAGGTTTGAGTGGAGCTGGGCCAGAAATACCTAGACAAAGAAAGCATGGCGATTCCCTCACTGGCTGCTAGACGTGAGTAGGGGGAGCCAGTCACAGGCAGAATAGGGACTTAGTGCAAACTTTTCCAATTTGCTTTTGCCCTTCCTTTACCAGTATGAGATTAGAAGTCGTAGCAATAGCTAACTTTGGAGGTATCACAAAACTAGTTTTAAAAGAATCACCATCATTTATCAAATACAACACAACCTTGGGTTTAAAAGCCCCCTGGAACTTA